TCCAAGCATAAAGATCAGGGTGTTTCAACATTATTATATCTGGTTACTACAAAAGTGAGAAAGACACAAATAATTACATGCTCATATAAAGAGAGTGAGAATACAATGATTAATGTGTTTTTTGCTCTTATTATTACCCTCATATAAGCTCCTAATGTGATTTGCAAATATCCATCTATTAAAAAACTGTATTTATGCGTTATGGACAAGAAGAAAACTTGCCTCTAGACTGAAAAAAATGGAATAAACATGACCATGGGAACTGGTAGTATATGTGGCCTTGGGGAAATTCTAAATAAATAAGAAAAATTCAAATAATAAGATAATTGAGGCAAAGTAGTGTTTAGGATAAAATTACCACGTGGATAAACAAGTTGTGTACCTTTTTTTTTTTTAAGCTGAACCATCTTGCCACCTGGTGGCAGTTCAGCGGCAGCTCAGCTCAAGCCAGGAATCAAACCAGTGACCTTGTTGCTCAGAGCTCACACTCTTGAGTGAGCCTTTAACTAACTGAGCCACTCGGCCGGCCCATGTACCTTTTCTTAATTACAAATGAAAATGTGACCTGAGTGTATTTGTTGTTAATTTAAAATGGTTGCGCCTCTCATTTCAGCAACAGAAAAATTGCAGGAGAATGTGGCTACCCTAAGAGAGAAAGGAACGTACACATGTGCTGATATAAATAGCACATGTTTCACAGAGAATTGTTTTCCTTCCTGAAGGTTGCTCTATACACCTTGGAAATACTCATATTTTAACTTAGTTTTCATTGCTTTCATTACTTAAGTTTCTATGCAAAATTTACCATAACATTATCCCTTTCAGTATAATCCAAAGGAGAACATAAAATGAAGTCCTTCATTTGGTATGAGAAATGCGTGAAAATTAAGAAATGGCATTCTACCTTTCCGAATCCATATAAATTGTATACTATTTTATGTTCCTTATTTTGCAAAATGTACTGTGTTGGCACACTGACCCATATGAAAGAAATAATCAAATCTATTGTTAATGATCAGTGCATGTACATCAGTTATACCTGAATAAAAACGACCAATTCAGAGCCTCTCTCCTCTAAGTCAAGTTTCTTTAGAGGCACTGGTCCTCAAACTTCAGCAGGCATTAGAATGACCTGGAGGTCTTGGTAAAACAGATGGCTAGGTCCATCCCTAGAGTTCTGATTCAGTGAGCCTCCTCTGGTGCCCGAGAATTTGCATTTCTAACCACTTACCAGGTGATGCTGATGTTGCTGGTCCCGGGACCTGACTTTGAGGACCACCAAGAAGACATAAACTTATGAAAGAAGTTGGATCTTAACGTATAGGCAGATACATTTGAATCATTCCATGTTGGTGTATTTGTAGCAACAGCATAGCTTGCAAAATGTAAAATCTATTCAATAAAATGTAATATAACGTGCTGTTATTTTTTTCTTCATTGTAGGCATGGTGTACATCATCGATTAGTTCAATCTAAAAAGAAAGTAGAAAGGGCTTTCAAAGCCAAAAATTGATTCTAAGTCCTCTTTTGAAGGACTGTACGTATAAACAAGCCGACCACACAGCTGCCTTGATTTTTGCCATCCCTACAGTAGTACTTAGGGCTAAAGCGAAACTTCACGTATTTAAAGCTCACGCTTGCCATCTGCTGACATATCTGTGAATTACAAGCAGCCTGCATCAACTAACAGCTGGTGAATATACAATACATTGCGTTCAGATTTTTGTTTGCTTTTTGTTTCTTCATTTACAAAACCCACAAGGCAAATTTTAAACATGTATTTTCCCCAGAAACACTGTATTTCACAATTTATTGGACTACTGAAAGAAAACTATTTCCCAAACTAAACTCACTTATTTCAAACCACTAGCTTGTATTGAATCTACTTTAATTCTTCCTACTGACAAACGAAGTTGCAAATTTGTCTCTCAGAATACCTAGTTCATACCAAAAATGAATTTTTCAATAAAATGTTTTAAGAGGAGACTATATTGAAAGCTTTGATTTGTTTTAAGCGGAATCAAATGTTGATGTATATAGACTGCTTATCATGGCAGCACATTGAAGAGGCGCTGAAAGTAATCATGCTAATAACTCTGAAACAAAAGAATCATCCCCAGAGGTGAGGCCAAGCCATTCTCCATCTTTTATTCATTCTCTAATCTAAATTTTCCTCTTAAGGTCAGGGCCCTACCTCATCCTTCAGTCAAGAAAGTCATATGCGCCAGCTCCCAAGTTCAGTTTTACAGCTTCAATTAGGCTGAATCAAGCATATTATAATGGAAGTGTGGATTGTGGACTCAAAAAATAAATATTATTGAGTACTTAATATAGGCCAGTCACTGTGCCTAGTATTGATACCTCTACTGTATAGATTAGGAAGTTGAAGTTTAAAAAGACTAGGCAAGTTGTCCAAGGTCATGGTGCCAAGACTGACACCCAGACAACCTGGCTCTAGCACCTGGCTCCTATCAGCCTTGTCATTATTGCCTGAGTTATTTTCTGCAAGACTGCCCACACTCACACTTTGGCCAAAAATGGTGTGTTTTTTTAAAAATGTTCCCAAGTCTTCTAAAATGGTAGTATTTACCAGCTTGGCCTGGTTTCCACTTTTTAGGCAGAGGCTAAGTAAAATAAGCCATCCATTTCTCTGACTTTGGTCATGTATATAGGAAACATGATGATTTTTAGTGATTCCTAGCATGAGCTGTGGAATAATTTATGCTGGGTTTAGCTTTGTTGATTCATTAACACCTGTGTGTCCTTGGGCGAGTCCTTCATTCACTCACTCAAGAAACATATGTTTGGCACTAGGCTTGCAGCTGTTAACAATACAGATAGGGTTGCCAGCATCACGGGGCTGACATTTACAAATCTTCCCTAGAACCTAGCCTCCTCATCTGTAAATATGTATAATAAATGTAATACATAATAAGTGCATATAACAAGTACACATAAAGAGTCTGTGTTGGTGATTTGTATAAAGCAGGTTTGTATTAAAGCTTAGCTTTGATGATGTTGATCGTGGTAATTGTTATGAGGTTGATGAAATCATCGTTCTACCCATTTAATATAATCAACTCATAGGGTCATGAAACCCTTCCTGCTAGTGTTTTCATTGTTACACTTTATCTAGGGTGGGCATTTTTAGGGACTTCCAATACAGCATCTGGTATATGATCGAAGTAGCCCCTGATGCTGTCTTAGGCAAACGACAAAGTACTTGAGATCAGAAGCATTCCGTGCACTGGATGGCTATTGTGTGAGTTCCAGAATCTAGGCAAGAGGTTGTGTGTGTGCACGTGTGTGCTTCCCCCTCTGCCTCAGGAACCTGCACAGCTGCCAGGAAAGAAAGCCCACTCTAACCTACTAGAGGAGTCACATCTGACCACCGCTGAGCCCAGCCCAAATTTGTACCCAGAGAATTATGAGCTAACTTAGTGGTTATTTGAAGCCACTAAATTTGGGGGTGGTTTGTGATGCAGCAAACATCAACTGATGCAATGGCATTTTTACCTGGAAGGCCTTTATATGAAACTCTTTTATTTAAACCGCTACACATAGTTCAAACTTTCTAATTCCATCCCTTCCTTAAAGTCTACCCTAATCATTTCAGCTTTAAAGAAAAAAGAAAGAAATTTGCCTAATATCACACATCTAGTAAGTGGCAAAGTCAGGATTCAGACTCAAACAATGTGACTTTAGCACCCAGAATCTTCATCTTGCACTATGCTATATTAAACCGTCTAAAAATAGAGGATTTCTTGTAGCAATCAAACTTCCTTTTGCTAATTAAATTTCTGATTGGTTTTGTTTGTTTAGTGCCAAACAATGCACACTCATTACAATATTATATGAAAATTCGAACGAGTAAAAAAAGCCATAAACCCACCCTCAAGAGATAACCAGTATTAATACATGGTAGTTACACATAGATTCTTTTCTAATGATATGTGTGCATATTTCCTGTAAAAATTGGAGCATATGGCACAAACTATAATTTATTTCAGCAAACCACCAATTATTGCACATTTAGATTGTTCCAAAGGTCCTTTGCTGGGCGAGGAGGAAATAGAGGGAGAGGGCCGAAAGTGGATCAAGGCATATGGGTAGGGGCTAGCGAATAATTTGAAGTGTGATGAAACTACTAGGGGCAGGTCATACAAGGTATGGTGGCCCTGTAATGCAAGAGCTGTATTAAGGAGCCTGTATTATGCTGAAGAAAATAGGGCACCTACGTGGGGCTTTAAAGGGCAAGTCATGGTCATATTTGTGTTGCAGAGAAAACCTGGCTGCTCCAGAGGGCCCTCTTGACCACTAGGCTAAGCTTCCACACGCAGCTTCGTAGTTTTGGAAGCCACGACGGAGAGAAGTGTCCGAAGAGAGTGGCGTTTTGGCTTTGGCCCCACAGGTCTTGGGGCCGATTTGATGTTTGGGGGTACAACAGAGGCCCGAGTATGACAGCTGAACTGAGCTATTTGGAGCGTGGTGGTACGATATTCTGAATCAGTGATTACAGAGCGAGAAGAGAAGACGGGCTGGAGAGAGATGATGAGTTCGTTTCCAGATGTGTTGCATTTGAGTCATTTAGGCTGCTTTTTAGGATGGGGTTCCCTGCAGAATATACATTCCATAAATACTTTAAAAATTTTTTATTGTGAAGTCCAAGCTTGTAAAATCTACCAAACCATCTCACTACTGGCAATGATCGAAGTGTGAACCCCTATTAAATCTACATATTAAATCCAATGAGGACATTAGCGAAAACACAGGTTCGCCAGCCCTTAAGAAACTAGGTGTTTGCAGATCTTCAAGCATCCTCAATACAGAACCACAGGCTCCTAGCTCTGGGAGTTGTCCAAGTGCGACAAAGCGGTTGCCCCCTGCTGGTCAGAATTGCGCAATGCAGCGCAAGGAGAGAGTTCTTAGGGGCCTGGTTGCCAGTGGTGACGTATAAAGGGGGAGTCCGGAAATAGGCGGTGACGATTGCGTCACTCGTGCGCGCCGTGGGAAACCTGACAAGCCGCATGGCCGCGGGTTGTTCTGAGGCTCCGGGGCCGAAGGCGGCCTCCGAGGGGCTGGTGGTGGGACCGGCCGGCGTCCTGCCTTGCCTGGAGCTGCCGACCTACGCTGCCGCCTGTGCGCTGGTAAATAGCCGCTACTCCTGCCTGGTGGTGGGGCCGCACCGAAGGCACATCGCACTGTCGCCGCGCTACCTTAACAGGAAACGCACCGGTATCCGAGAGCAGCTCGATGCGGAGCTCCTGCGCTACTCTGAAAGGTACCAGTCTTTTAGCCTTTGTCTGCATAACATAGCTG